AAAAAAAAAAAAAAAAAAAAAGAAAGAAAGTTTTTGTTTTTGTATTAAAATTACAATCTACCTGTAATATGTTTTCATTTAGGTAATGATGTAAAAATCTACTGTTTTCCCTTATAGATAATAAATTATCTCACAGCATTTATAGAATAGTTCATCTTTTCCTACTTTTCCTAAAATAGAGAATTATTTCTGTGCTCTTTATTTGCTTGTACTATTTTGCTTTTTATCCCTACATGAATTCCATGCCAAAGACAAACTGATTCAATTTCTATATAGCTCAATAATGTCTTGATATCTCAAAGGCATATGCCCCCATATCCCTTCTCTTTTTTTCTTCTTCCAAGTTTTCTTGGCTTTTATTTACCCCTCATTCTTGTATTTAAATTTAGGATTAGTTTCTTCATTTCCATTTAGAATGTAGGAATTTTGATTCAAATTGGTTATATTTCTTACATTGGATAGATTTGACATCCTTACAATGTGGAGTCCTCCCACCTACCCATATGATACATTTTCCATTTATCTAGGTCATATTTTGTGTGTTTAAATAAAATTGTATATTTCACTATGAAGTTCTTGTGCATATTTTTCCCCAGTTATTCCTGGGTACATTAGAATTTATTTTTGTTATTGTAATGGAATAATTTTTCTATTATGTTTTCTTGTTTGCTAACTGCTGTGTAGGGAAATAGTAAGAATATGTGTAGGTTCTTGACCCTGAGACACTTCCAACCTAGTTAGAAGTTAACTTTTAGACTTCCCCTATTTCTCTCATAAGAGTAAACAGCAGATGATAATAGGAGTAGGAATTACCGGTGGCTTTCAAGGGTAGCTTTAACAAATAGATATATATTTATTTATGTTTTATGGTATATATTTAATTTTATTTATATATATATGATATATTACATTTAATATATATGATTGTATCATATATATATTAAAAGAAATTTAAATTGAGCTTTGAAGGAAGAAAAGTCTTAAGTAAGAGGACTGACTTGAGGAAAAAACAATCAACTTCACAGAGAAAGAATGTTTTGGCTTATTTAAGCCATAAAATTTCCCACAATGCATCTAGATTGAGAAATTTTTTTAAGTTAAATTATTTATGTTTTTAATAATTTTGAAATAATTTAGTTCCCATTTAGTTCCAAAGTTATTCAAGACAGCTTACAAACTATATATATTCAGTACAACATATCTGTTTTTAAATTAGTAAACTGTGACAAAGAAAAAATAAACTTAGAAATTGAAGGCATTGTAGAGAAATTGTAATATATCAAAATGCAGGTCATTCATATCTTACAAAATGACTAAAACTGAGTTGTACACAAGAGTCTGACATCTTCAGTAGCCAAAGTAAGTAGAGAATTTAATTAATTTTATGGTTTCTATTGTTCATAAGATAAGCTATTCAAACAATAAGACAATTTTCAGAGTACTGAGGTCTGAGAAAAATATCCTCTCAACAGTTCTTGTATATAAGATACCAAGTGATAGAGTGGGCTTCACCTTCTATAGCATCTCAGTAACAAATGAATGTGATAATGAATATCTTATGACTTTTACTGTTCTTTCAGGTAAATGTAAAACATAATTTCAAAGCAAAATTCAGTGGAATTGATTCACTGGGGCATGCTAAACAATAGGATTCAAGTCTACAAAGTTGCAGATAGTCTTTCTTAATTCAAGAATAAAATCTTGGCTCTTCAGCAGGCCCTGCTGAATAAAATCCTAGTTGTTATTCAAAAATAATTATTGGGGTTTATGAGCAAATGGAAAACATATATCCCAATAAAAACTATATGAAGCAAATACTTGGTGGAATGCTTTTTACTAATTGAATTTGAGTAGCAAGGCTAATTTGCAACCATGAACAGATTGTAAAAATCGACAAATTCTATGTGAAAAGGGACACTGTATTGTCCACTGTTGTATCACCAGCTTTTTGCCTAATATCTGGAACCCAGTAAGTGTTCAATACATATTTGGGGAATAAACAAGTGAGGAAATGAATGAAGTAAAGCTTCATGTATCCTGCTTTCTACAGTGTGAATTTTGCATAGAATCATGCAGCACAGAGGGGATCCATGCTTCAGCAAGGATCTAAAACATAAATAAGCCTCTCTTTAACCCATAAAAGCAGATATGTATAAGGTATACAAGGTAGAGTTGATATCCTTTTAAGAAAATTAAGGAATCTAATTAGTAGTTAGCATTCTTTCCCATAAGGAATGGCCCCAGTATTTAAGGTTCTGTGAGGCTCAAATTATAAAATAAAATTAATGTATTTGTAGAATGTCAAGCTCTATACATATGTAAATGGTTGTACAATTTTTAGGCACCCTCCAAATGTCCCCAGATCCTGACTCGTCCAACTGTTCAATTTCTCTATTATATTTCTGAAAACTTGAGCTAGTCTATCACCTCCTCTTTATGCTAAACACTTTCTGACTTTAGTTTCTTTTACCTGGGATATTTTAATAATCCTTTTCCTTCTTTTTTCGTTATCTGGTTCTTCCTCTTTGAGTCCATGCTTCACAACATACAGGGATAGTTAAATCTATAGAATATTGATTGAAATGCAGATTCTACCATGTATTAGCTGTTTGATATTAAACTAGTTAATTTAGTCTTAGTATCCTTATCTATAAAATGGGAATAATAATCATATATAGCCCTTTTGGGCTGTTCTAAGGTTTAAATGGGATAATCTATGTAATGTGCACAATACCTGCCACCTAACCAGCAAGTGATATATGTTGATTGTTGCTATAATTATTTTACCAGTGAGTTCTAAAGCCTAAATCCGACCCTCACCATCCTTACTGAGACATTTCACTGATTGCCAGAAGCCTAAATGCAGAGTATGTAATGTTTTTGTAATGTGACCTCAACTTCCCTTTGCACTCTCATCACCTACCTTCTCTCCCTCCCTTTGTAATCTGACCAGTCATTTCTGGGTTTAGTTATCTAAGTAGACTGTGGATTTGGCACATGGTGTCCCTCTTTCTGGAATGCCCCATCCTTCCTGCTCTGGCAAAAATCTTTCTCCTCCTTCAAATTACTCCTCCTCTGGAAACGTCTCCCTGGTAGAATTACCAACACTCCTGTCACTCACTACATAAACTCTCTAGAGATACACTGAATTCCTTACACTTGTGTCTATCCCTCTCATTAGATGTGAATTTTTCTAGCTCAGGAACCCTTTTTGAAGCAGTTATAAGTCCCAGAATGCCTACAACATAGATTTAACATGTGCTATTTAACAAATGAACAAACACCTGGCCCAGGGCCTTCTGCTTAACATGTGCTCAATGACATTTGTATAATCGAAGTTACTATATTTGATTTTATTAAAAAATGCTTGCTCCTGCAGAATCCCAACCTACTGGCAAACAGAGGTTAGAGTGTCTGGATGTTTCAGGGTTCTGTTAGGGGTCACAAATACCAGCTCGTATGCTGTCAATTTAAGAAAGAGATTTTTCTTACTAAAACCTGGAAGAAAAAGTGAGGCTTGCAGCGGATGGCCCCAGAAAAAAAGATTGCCTGCCAAGAACTGCTGTCCCATCCTTTGTTTCCCTCATTTCCCAACCTGGTAGAGAAACTACAAGTGGAGGGAAGAAAAGTGGGGTGGAAGAAAAGTTGGCTTGCCTCTCCTACTCCGCCTCCTACAGAAGTCTACACCAAGCCAGATGTCCTAGGATGCCTCTCAAGGGCACCTGATCTTTGGAGTTCTCAAATACGCCCTGAGTTTCCTCTGTACCTTTCGTAACACCCTGGCTCCCTCTCCCTCCACTCTCCCCAGCTCCCAGTCACCCCCACCCTCAACCCCTGCTGACCACATCCGCCGGGTACCGCCACCGGCAAACAGAGAACAAGAGATCCGCCTCCAGAATCCCGGTTCTGGGACCTCCCTGACTGTCAACGGAAGATGCCAATCACAGGCAGCCGTAGCCAAATCACTGAGAGCCCAGTAAAAAAACAAAATCAGGTTGGGGGCTGAAAGGAAATCAATATAGCAACCTCCAGTGCATGAAGGAAACTCTGCTTACACTTGCTCGTAGGATTCCCTGCGTGAAAATAGCAGATTGTCTCTGACTGCCCGGAGGACACGGAGCACCCCAAAAAGGAACTTTAGAAGGATTGAAATCTGTTGCCTGTTCCACTAGGAATATTGTTTGCAAGGCACAAGGTGTCTTTTGGTAGCGAGCGCCCTCTGCGCATGCGCAGGTCCATTCGGGAATTACTGCCCAGCAGCGGACTAAGTTGCATTCCTTGAATCTTCGCAGAAAAGACAATTCTCTAATCAGAGTTAGTAATGTGGACAGTACAAAATCGAGAGAGTTTGGGGCTTCTTTCTTTCCCTGTGATGATTACCATGGTCTGTTGTGCACACAGGTGAGCTGCTGTTTAATCTTCCTCTTTTTTCTTGGTATGTTTCTTTTTACGTGCCTGCTGGATCATGTATCTTGTTATTTGGGGGTAGGTGTGCCTGTATCTTTTATATGTGCTCACGGTCTGTGCTCATTTTGCATACGGTCCTTACTTCTTCCCTTCAGCGCCAATGAACCCAGCAACATGTCATACGTGAAAGAGACAGTGGACAGATTGCTCAAAGGATATGACATTCGCTTGCGGCCGGACTTTGGAGGTAACGCTTCATCTTTTTCAACCTGTAACCCATCCCTAGTTCTCCTTTTCTGTCAAAGATAAATGTCAAAAAAGAAAAAAAAAAAAAAAAAACATGTCATTTTCGTAAGCGTGCACTGTGCCCTGGACACACCACACACACACACACACACACACACACACACACACACACCAGGACCCCAGGCTCAGGTGGATGGATCCTCAGGCGGAGGCGACCTTTCCCGGGCCGACACACCCTCTGCATAGTCACTGCATCACGCGTGTGCCCACACCTGTTTTCCCAGGCTGTCCCCTGAAAGGGGTGGTGGGGCGAGTAGGGAGGGAGCCGGTTCCGAATGGAGAAGGGCTGGGAAGCCCCCTTCTCCTCCCCAGCCCGCTGTCACTCAGAGAATCTGTCCCTAATGTGGCCCACCTCCCCGGCAGGCCCCCCGGTGGACGTCGGGATGCGGATCGATGTCGCCAGCATAGACATGGTCTCCGAAGTGAATATGGTGAGTGGCCTCCCGACGGGCCCGGCGGTCCGGCTTACGCAGAAGCGAAATGACCGGTCCCTGTGCCCTCTGCGTTTCCCTGGCGGTCACCTCGCCCTGGCCCCGGGGGTCCCACTCCGCACGCGCTCCCCACTCCGGCACACACACGCGGTCACCCCTGGTTTGTAATTTCGACACACACGGGCTACTGCGGTGTTCCAGGGGAAACGTGCTCGGCACTATTTTGGGAAGAACGGGTGACTGTTGCGCCGTAGATCGGCTGGGGCGGAGTCTGAGCGGTACTTTAGCTGGGTTTCCCTGCGTGTTCGGATGAGGAGGGCACCATCTGCCGGCAGTCGGGCGGCCTGCACTGGGGTCCCCCGACCGGTGGTCGGCAGCCATCACCTCCCCAGGCGATCCCCGTGGCCTTCGCAGCCGGCAAGCCCGGATGCACCGAGGCCCCGCCACCCGGCGCACACTCGAGGTTTCAAAGCGTCCCTCCCTCCGGGTTCAGGCACACCGTGTGGCAGGAGCAACAGGCTGAGACGACAGCCCAGGCTTGCTAATAGGAAAAGTGCCCGAGCCTGGGTAGGCTTGTCTTGTTCCCTCGTGGGAGGTTATGAATTTGTCTTGCTGCATCTTGCAAATTTAACTTGAAACAAAATGGGTCAAGTTATATTGCTTCACTTTACTCTAGAAATCTACGCATGTCTAAAAAGCTTGATAATTTAAGGGACGTTGGAAGGGAGAGGGGGCGACAGTAACATAGCACAGTCCTTTCATTTCCAAGGGGTCTTCTTTCATTTATATTGTCCCTCTCTTTTTGGAAGCTGTTGCAAAATCAACTGAAATAGCTGCCACTTTCCTGTCGGCTGTTTGCGTCCACTGTGGGTAGCAGTTTTCTACTTAGAGTTTCTAACTGTTGCTTCTTGTAAGACAGGGGAAAAAGCCTGTTGCTTTTCTAGAATCAACCACCCTGGGGACAACTAGATCTACGTGAGCAAAATGCCATTTTTATTCCACTTGTGAAAAAATATTATGGCAGCAGAAATTTAGACATTCTGAATAATTTAAAGAGTAAAACCTTTAGAGATTTTATCACTTTATAGCTATAAAGTCTATTGAATTGTCTTTCATTTCATTCCTACAGTGTCGTTTTATTTTAAAATACTATGGTTTAAGAATTTTTTCTTTTCCTTTTTAGGTTATGTTAGGGAAGAAATAAATATATCTATAGCTTATTAAATAGGAATAGAATAAAAGGTGTGACTAATTTCTGTGCTTTGTAGTTGTAGCTGCTCCTGCTTCAAATAATACTTTAAATATTATTTTTTTTGAAATACTATTTTTAAATATCTCTGATTGTCGTGCTGGAAAAAGAAGCTCAATTTTAAAAACGTAATGCACAATGAATATTTTCTCATTTGGCAAACTGACTTATTATATTCTGTTTACATACATGTTAATACCACAAAGTAACCCTAAACACAATATTTACAAACACTCTGAGGAATGTAATAATATGTGCACATACACAAATTGTGCCTAATCTACACAAATGCAACTGGACAAATTAGACAATGAATTAGTTTAACAAGTCGTATTATGTAGATTAATAATGATAATATTTTCCTTTTCAATCATTTACTTTGGTATCTTGTAAGCATCCACATATACTTTATAAAATAGGAGATTTAAAAAGCTCAAAAAGCAAATGCAGCCTTTGGTCTACCTTGACGTGTAGAGTGCTATGCATTTCAAAATTTTAAAAAATATGTAATTCTGTTGACTATATTAACATACACTTTTTCAGTTTTTGTTAAACTTAATTAAATAGGGAAGTTGCTGTAATCAACAACCACCATAACAAAAAAGTTCTGTATAATCAGTTGTTCAGCTGAATTCATGCATAAGCTGAGAACAAGGATTGACTTTAATTGAAACACCACTGGACATTTCTTCCTAATGATTTAGTAACACAATCTGTTTACTCATGGCAACATGTGTATACGCACTTGATTTTTAAAAAATATTCACCCAACCAGTAAGCCTTCGAAAATGCATATTCTACTACAATTCCCATGACCTTTCCTCAGCAATGTTAGCGACATGATTAGAAAATGCGACATGATTAGAAAATAGAAACCACTCAATGCTGAAAAATAATAAACCTTGATTTACTTGTTCTTTCTTGTTTCTCCTTTTAATGAGCACTGCCGACAGACCCCAGAGTTTATTTTATCTTCTCTCATCTATGACAAAGCATTGAAATAAATAGATTGGAAATAACTCCAAGAAAAATGGAAATAAAGAGAAATGTTTTTAGACTTGAGAGCTCTGTCTAAACACGATTCAGATGGTTAGCCCCACACCCCCATAAGAAAATTGTTTATTATATGCTGTGATTTTATATAATATAAATAGGTTTGGAAGTCCATGGAAAATAAGACTTATTGCTTATTGCTTTTTGTATTAAGCATGTTTCAGTACCCTGATAGGCAATAACTTTTGAGTTGTTTAATAGAAAATTTTCATCTACATTAAATCACAAGAATATAATAAAGAGAATGGACAAGAGTATCATAAAAATAGTTTTTAAGAAAATGCAAGTTGAACCCATTACTAAAACATCGTTCATATTTATGTTTTCATTCATTATCATCATGACCCATTCCCTGGCTAGGAAAATGACATAATTGTGCATTAAATTAGTGGATTTGAGAATTAGGTTCTGTTCATTTTTGTTTGCTTCCCAAATAAAATATAATTCCTGTTTGGTTTATACATTGTCTGCTTTAAAGACTAAATCACATTAAGAACATTTTCTGGTTTCTTAATTTGGGAAAAATTAAGTGTTTTCTTAAAAGGAAAAAAGCAGTCTTTATATAGCAAAGAATCTCTACAATCAAGAATCATTGGTTCTAAGCAAGGGAATGCAAAAATTGTGAATAATAATTCTGATGCAGAAAAAAAGTATCTACTTGAGAACAAGACTTTTCAGGCAATAATATTACTGATTAAATTAGAAAGGACTGTTCTTGCATCATGGGATACATGGTTCATGTGATAGCAACTACATACTGTTACCATTTTCTAAGCTGTCATATTAAAAAATCACCATGATTTCCATTTATATATCATACCCATCAAACCTTGTCTTTTAAGTTTCTGCCAAGCCATAGACACACACACACAGACACACACACACACACACACACACACACACACACACACGACTAAAGATGAACAGAAAGCAGTTGGAGTAAATGGAGACAAGAGCTCTGTCCTTAACATAACACTAACATCTGCTACTATAAAGCCAGGAAGACACAGTAGTGGGCAGGTTTTCTCTTTGAACAGTAGTTTGGGGAAACTTGATATTAACTACCTGCAAACAAGTAGTTGAAGTCTTGTATTTCAAATTCCAGCTTCTAGCTGTTCCTTCTTATTCAAGAGGAGGATCCTGATTAACATAGGAGCTCCAACCAGGCAACTTTCTGTACCTGATCTGAAGACACGATGGTCCAAATGGCCACCCTCAGAAACCCTTACATTGAATGAGTCCTAACTAAACATAGGAGCCAATCCAAGTTGTTTCCAATATGAGATAGCTATCATGGATTCATTGTCTTTCCTTCCTTCATGCATGAATGAGTATAACAGTAAATGCTCTTACAGAGATTACAGTGAACAACGATGACAGAAACGAAAATGAGCCAATTTTATAAATAATGCTTAAGGAAAAACAAATTTAATTTACCAAATATCCACTTAGAATTCACTGTTTCTGTTGTGGTGGTGGTGATTTTAATATTAGACTCTGGAAGTTTCTGGTACATACTTCAGTTATATCTCATTACTATCACTGTGGTGACCCAAAAGAGTAACCGCTTGTCAGATTGCCAGTCTCCACACGCGTTTCTCTAGGTCAGTGCTTCTCAAATCTTTCACATGTACCTGAATCACTCTGGGATCTTATTAAAATGCAAATTCTGAATCAGAGGTGTGGGATGGGGCCTGGCATTCTGCGTTTTTCCTGGGCAATGCTGATTGCTGGTATGTAGATTGTACTTTGAATATCAAAGTAGTACATCATCTGAAATTCTAGCTTCATTAAGAAATTGGCTGGGTGCAGTGGCTTACACCCATAATTCCAGCACTTTGGGAGGCCAAGGTGGGTGGATCACTTGAGGTCAGGAATTCAAGAGTAGCCTGGACAACATGGTGAAACCCCATCTCTACCAAAAACACAAAAATCATCTGGACGTTGTGGCGCGTGCCTGTAGTCCAAGCTACTCTGGAAGCTGAGGCATGAGAGTCACTTGAAACCGGGAGGCAGAGGTTGCAATGAGCCACTCCAGCATGTGCAATAGAGCAAAACTGTTAAAAAAAATGAAATGAACATATTTTCCTTTCAAATTTATCTATGAATGTTGTTTAAGTTACAGGTTAATTTCCTGCTGGTTAAACAGATACCTGTTCTCTAAAGGGAAAGTTAATTCCATAATTGATGATAACCAATAGGACAAAGGCAGGAGTCTGGATGATGGGGCTTGAGCTAAACTAATAAATTATCTTCCTAATTGTATTTATACCCATGAATCAACCAATCTCAAATGATGGCAATGAAAACATTTTCAAGTACAGTAACTCTACAGCACTATCCTAGTGCTTTACAGAAACACCTATGACTTTTTTTCTTCAGAATAAGGAACACTGCAAACTGTTTTTCTACCATTGAGGAGCTAGCAATGACTTTGTAAAATAGCCTAAACATACTCTTGATGTTGTCAGTAAATTCTCTGAAATTATAATAGAATTTCCTTTGCAAACAGAACAAACAGGAGAGTACCATTTAAAAGCAGAAACAGGTATTAGCAAGCATATGAATACATTTTACTCTTATGTGAGTAATCACACAAGTTTTTCTTTTAGGTGCCGGATTATAATTTTATAACATCTGGAGAGGCTGGGAAAGGAAAATCTCCCCTTTGCCTGTCTGTTTGGGGATAACTTTTTTTTTTTTTTTAACTCTAAACTGCATTAAAGCAAGCCTATCTAGATTGCTTTAAAGTTTGAGTTTACATTTGAAAGCCTGGAATTTTAGGATTGCAGAATCAGACTGGATATTATAGTGTGAAATGCAATGAAACAAATAGTAACTTACTGAACATTTCCATATGTGAGGTATGGTTATCAGTGCTTTACATTAATAGTTTATTTAATCCTTTACTTAATGCTATGCAATTCTTATCCCCCCATTATAGATTGAAAAACTGAGATTGAGAGAGGGAGAAACGTTGTTAGGTTAAATAACTTACTCAGCTAGTGAATGGGCAGTGCCAAAATTTGAAACCAGGCAGGCTGTCTCCAGGGCGTGGCTCCTAACCACTA